TTTTCCCCTGCTACCAAGAACCGAGCCATACCTCAAATTGCCGGTTTTACATTGTAAAGTATGTGAGCCGTACCCATGGCATAACCATGATCACATAACCCTGCTTACTAGCAGGGCTGAAAGCGTGATCAAACCGAGTTGATTTAGGCGCCACTATTTGACTGGTCAAAATGCAAGGAGATACCGGTGTTCTACACATGTACTATCTGAAGGAAAAACATGTATATCATGCATATTTATTCATCATCATCATCGGCGATCACTTGGAGTCGAGCATGATGGTCCACCTGGGGGGTCCTTATTGTGGATCTTCAGATGGCTGAAGAGGCCAGTTCTCAAACCACAATCCTTGTCACAATGTGGACATGGATATGAGGTGCTGGGGGTAGCCTGTTTGGCAGTGACTCTCTCCTTTCTTTGCTGCCACTTGATTTTGGCAGCCTGTCGGAGATTGTCCTCAAGTAGAGTGGCACCCTTATGTAGGCTGTTTCTCCATGTGGTTCTGTTTTTAGCTATATCTTCCCAGTTTGAAATGTTTATTTGAAATTTCTTCAAGTTGGTTTTGATGTCCTTTTAGCACTTTTTCTGTCCTCCAGGTGCATGCTGGCTGGCAGAAAGCTCTGAGTAGAGAACCTGTTTTGGAAGCCGTGTATCAGACATGAGTATTACATGACCTGTCCATCTTAGCTGGTGTTTTATGATGGTGGTGACAATATTGTCACAGTTTGCCTCCTCTAGGATGCTGATGTTAGTCCGCCTCTCTTCCCCAGAAACACGCAGAATCTTACGCAAACACATTTGGTGGTAGGATTCCAGGGCTCTTAAATGCCTGCTATATGTTGTCCAGGTCTCTGCTCCATATAGGAGTGTTGGTAAAATGATTGCTTTATATACCAGTAACTTGGTTTTTGAAAGATCAGAGTTTTCAAAGACTCTCCTATGAAGTTTTGCAAAGGCCCCACTAGCACAGCAGATACGGTAGTGAATCTCATGGTCGATGTCTGCTCTTGAGGAGAGGTGGCTTCCCAAAAAATGGAAAATTATCCATGATCTCAAGACATTCACCATCAGTTGTTATTGTTGGTGGGGATGTAGAATGGTCTGGTGGGGGCTGATGGAGAACCTTTGTCGTTTGATGTTCATAGTCAGGCCGAGAAGTCTGTAGAGAGGAGTGTGCTGATGGATTATCCAAACAGGTGGACGCCTGTGCGTGGCTTCTTTTAACGTGGGGAGACTGGGGCACAAATACCCACCACACGGTCCTTGACAGAGACAAACCTATTATAAACAGCATGGACTTCAAGACAGTTGAAGGTCCCTCTCTGCTGCAGCCTTCACAGCCGTTGTTGTGATCCACTTGCATGCCTGGACAGAATCTTCCGCTTGCTCCGCTGTTGAAGTCTGTTGAGTCGCGCTATTGTCTGGCACCTCCCCCTCAGCCTTGCCGCCAAGGGTGACCCTACCAGGAGCGTGGCTCGAGACGGTATTGCTCTTAGGATCTCTGGCACATGCAAGCCTCTCCACCACGACAAGGTGGTGACTCTCCAGAGAGGGCATATTCATTATTAGTAGTATCGCACATTGCGATGTATTAATGCATTCTATAACTTTGAACTTGAAAATATCTAACCTCCTTCTTCAAAAACTACCACAGAACAGCTGAACGAAATGGATTTGTAGCGCAAATTTACACAACCGAATGATAATTCCACTAGTGTTTGATTACATAACATAGCTAACATAACATGGTGATTCTCACAGATGTGCTAGAATATTAGGAAATTAGCATGGTAAGTCATGATGTACACCGTGTGAACAGTAAAGCATCTCTTCAGTTTTATGTCGCTGTCACTCTCCAAACCTGGCAGACTGGCAACTGAGCTGACCCTTCTGCAGTGGAAAACCAAAGCAAGCTGGAACCCCACATTGTAACTACTCTCTCCTCACAGTACAGCTTGGGTATGTTTCAGTTCCTGTATGTCAGTGGAAAAGCACCATATGTTTATGCTGTAAAATATCAGAAACTGTGAAAGAAATTCTCAGAATCCCATGTAAACCTTTTATTTTGAAGTGTCTTTGAAACTTGTAAAATACTATTTAATTCAGAGGCCTGACAGGTTTTGTTTAAAATGGAAAACTTGAGTTTTAAACTCCCTTAAGTACAGTAAAAGAGGAAAAATTGTATGTATAGCACTATTATGAGCACATAGGACAATACAATGCAATCTATTGTAAAAAAAGATGGGCAACTCTAACTATGAGACAGCAAAGTACAAAGTACAAAAAGGCCAGATATTCCTGAGAGATGATCGTTACTACCAGAGGCTTAATCCAACAGGAAGGGTCATTGGCAGAGCAGCTAATGCTTGTGACTGCTTCCAAGTGTGGTTTGGAAGAAAAACAGCCCCAGCTTCAAGCAGACCAGCTGCTTTGGAGATAATTTTGTTGAGACAGGATGCCCAATCAGCAAATAAGAAAACTGTTTTGACTATTTCTCCTTGCTAAATATAGGTTAAATGCGTTCTGCTCTAATACGATTCCAAGAACACAAGACAACATGACTGCATTTCAGGCACTCATGAGACTCCAACACGGCTCATGTCTCTTTCTCAGTCCAAGAGCACTTACTTCTTAATGAAGATTAGGCAAATGATCACAGCAATTGTGAACAGGACAGGAATGGTGATAACAACAACATGCGGGGACCAGTTCGGTGGTTTGGGCTGACCTAAAGGAGAAAACCAGATGTAGAAACATCCTCTTTCAGCAACACCTTCAAAATCCTCAACATGATACTGTTATCTTGGAATTCATATCAGATTTATATCTGTGGTGTTAGGAACTAATTCAGTATTTTTAATATATAAATTATGCTTAATTAGGCTCAAACATTCTTATTAAACAAAGTCTGCATGTATTAATATTGTCACACAAACTAATACCCTAACTTATATATTTTTTTATAAAAAATAAAAAACAGTTTAGTCCGGTGGACGTAAAATATAACCACAATCTGAAATGACTTGTGTTTTTTATATTCCCAAAGAACACTGAAAACAATTAAGAGATATATTTTAATAGTTTCAAACATGTTTGTAATATTTTCTATGCAATTTATTAGCAAAGGAGCTAGGGATGCTCATTTCGATTAATTTTCCCAACCGACAACTGCCGTTCGTTATCCGAACATTAATCGTTAACTGATCAGATTAGAATATTAAATTAGAATTGAATGAAAATAGAACTGAGGAGTGTCTGATTAAATATGCGAACATTTTTTTCAGTTTTATTTTAACATGTGCGAACAACAGCAAACAGAACATATCAAGAACAGAATCTGGATCCACACATCGTCAAATTTTCACGCACCTGCAGCGTTTCCGACAACAGAGAAAAACAAATTAATATAAATAAAAAGAATAAGTACTTCTTTTCGCTCACTTCATTTTGCTTGCCCGGCAAAATACGTCTGAAGGCACGTGTGGCTGCACGTGATAACGCCCCATGAGTTAACAAATAGCGTATGTGTAGCATATTTATGCCGCAAAACTTTATACTACTACTATTACTAATAATAATAATAATAATAATTAAAAATATTTATATAAAAACATTTTAAACCGTAATAATCGGTCAAAATTAATTATTTCGTTTAACGGTTAACGGTCAATATGAGCATCCCTAAAAGGAGCATTTGCAATTTTGGTGCTAGTGAAGAATCACTGTGGGTTTATGGCCAGCCAGAAGATGTTACCATAGCGTTTCTCCAAACTCCAGTCCGTGGCTCCAAATCCACATCTGTTTGTGAAGTTGGCCTTCACCTGCACCACATACTGATACTGGACGTCGTAGACCAGTGTGTCATTGGTTGTCCTGGAAACATTACCCATCTGCCAACAGGTAGCACAGCGTTTAATGAACCTGATCAAACATCAGCAATATCAGTAAACAAAAACAAAACCTATAGGGATCACTATTTGGCAGCATAAAACTATGTGTCAAAAACTGCTACCCCATAAAAACCTAGGGATCCCAATTTGGCAACATAAAATTACCTTTGAAAAACTGCAACCCCAAAAAAAAAACCTATAGGGATCACTTATTGACAGCAAAAGTAAGTTGTACTTAGTTAGTTAGCATGGGCTAGACATCACAGCATCCAGGGTGTACCCCAGCCTTGTGCCCTGAGTAACCCCTGCATCCCTGACTATGATAAGTGGTAAGAATAGATACTTAGCATTAGGGAAGACTCAAGAATAGCAAACTAAATGAACTACATTAAAAATTTAAAGGTGACATAGTAATTAGCAGCACAAAAACATGATTGTGTGATTGACGTGGCAATAACCAGGTTTTGAACCATAATTACCCAAATACAGGGATGTTGGGTATAGATGATAGCGATATGTCCCTATCATATTGTGGGAGAACCAGATGTGTTCACCATCTATATCCTATAAATCATTTATTCTTTCCTTCTTTTTCTATTCACCTGGTACTTGTTCTGCCTATGATGGAAGTTCTGTATCAGAGCAAAGTTCGATGATTCTGCTGTGCCACTATCCATTATTTACTTTACTTTTTATTTCTTTAGCAGATGCTTTTATCTAAAGTGATATATGTTATTTTTTATTTGACTTTATGATAGCTGGTGATAGGTATACTCATGCCAATGTTTCCAAATCACTGGAACTACACTTTCAGTATAAACACCCCCTCTTGCGACCCTCTCCACTGCACTCACCTTCCAGTCCCGGGATTCACTGGTCTTGAACCGGTAGAGGTAGTCCCAACAATTTGCATTGAACAGACCAGGGTCTTTCCATTTCAAATACAGGGAGTTATTTTCATGGAAAATATCCAGTTGCAGGGGTGGGGGCCTCACTGTTGGAGGATAAAATGGAGCAGCTCATTATTTATCCAACAGCTGTTTTAAAAAGGTTGAAAAAAGTACGCGACAAAACAAAACAGACTTGCTAAAACTTGTATGGATCAAGCCGCGTCTCTGATGGGCTGAAACAAGCAAACCAACCTACTGAAATGCTTATGCCTATGAATCGCTCTCAGTCTCACAGTACCTCTTGACTGAGTTTGACATGCGAAAGCTGTGTTCCTGTGATTGGGGTGACTTTTTTGTGCTTTATAAAGGTGAAGTGATTAGTTATTGTTCACACACCATAGCACACAGTGCATAACAAGGAAATGTGTCCTCTGCATTTAACCCATATGTGACATTACTTTTTATTGATTATGAGTGCTTTTTTATCATTAGCTAGGTAGATAACTTAAAATAGGCAATCATTTGGGGGTCTGGAATGGATTAAATTCATGTACATTATTTCTTATGGGGAAATTTGACTTGGACCTCGACCGAATCGCAACTGGAGTAGTCTTCTGGAATGAATTAAGTTTGTGTTCCAAGGTACCACTATATACAAATGAATGTTTTTATTTTTTAAAGAATCAAGTCAAGGACAGATTAACCACACTGAAAAGCTGCAGCAAGATGAAAAGAGTGCACAAATGAATTCCCTGAAACATCCATTAACTGAAGCAATGCTGTAAGGAATAATAGGCCAAGATTCCAACAAAATGAAACAACTCATACAAAAATGATTACTTCAAGCTATATCTGTTAAAGGCAGATCTACCAAATACTAAATCATGTAGTGTACTTGCATACCTTCTGCATGATACCTTATTTGTTGTTAATTTAATCATGACATAGTGGAATTTGTTGTATTTTATGTCTCCAGAGGTTAGATTTACAGTTTCATGACCTGGCAAAGATTATTTTCAGGGGCCTTGATATAAAATACAGATGTTCCTCTACTTACGAATGAGATACGTTCTGAACGGCCGTTCGTAACTTGAAATGTTCATAAGTTGTTATTGAAGGGTTATTAAGGGTATACGCAAGTACAAAGAACTAGGATGCTTGGAGTACACACACTACGTTGCTGTGCGGTGTGAGTAGCGGCCAGAAGTCATACTACCTGTAATTAGCATGCAGAAAAAAAAATTGATGGTGCGGACAGGAAATGGGAGCCCAAAGAACACAATTTGCACTTATAGTTCTCTTTGTTCATATGTCTGAAAGTTCGTAAGTTGAAAGTTCGTAAGTAGAGGAGCGTCTCTACTATACAACATTTTCACATTTGTACAAGGACCCAGACCCTCACTCCACAACCCATTCCTGAGCCTTTTCAGTTTCAAGCCCCAAATTGTTTTCTTGTATATGTTTATCCATACTGATGTCAAAATGGCTGCCAGTTGTTTTTGTATCTTCCCACTTTTTTGTCAACTAATCTCCGTTCCTATGCTTAAGTTAGCCGTTGTTTCTTCTACCTTCCAAATTTCATGTGGTTTTGGTTGCCAGTTTGTCTGAAGTATGTATTATATACTGAATATTATATACTGAAACATGTCCTTATTTGTAAACAAACTATTTTCAGTTTTGCTGGCTGACAAAACAACTTTTGTTAAATAATTCAGCACAAATTGATATTTTATGTTTGAAAATGGATAGAGAAAATGGACAAAGAGCCTGGAATGTAAATGTCACAAGAATGTTGAATGTAATAAGTGTGAGTTATCGTCTTGTAAACAGCATACACCGTTGACATTACCATTGTCCCGAGGCATCCTTTGGAAGTAGTTATTCAGGGTGGAAGTGCCCTGAGTGCCACTGAGGTCAAAGTGGACTGCGCTTGACAGATTACTGAGATTACTGTGGTTGAGGAACTTTCCACTTAGGTGACAGCCCATCTTCACACCTTGTTCAAATAGGTACAACTTGCAGGGCTCAGGTGCTGGCTGGTCTTCATACCTGTGACATCAAAGCAACTACAGTCTTTACCTGTATGGAATATCCTGAAAATATCCATTGCTAAGTAATGGATATAACAGCTGTTCTAACTATCCCAGAAACATCTGCAGGCATGTAAAAGGACAATCAGGCCCTTACACACAAAGATGCAGGCTCCAGGTATCCCTTACATCCTGCAGTCTCAAGTTATTCCTGGCATTAATACTGCCTTTACCTAACACTCCCTTCACCTGTCAGCATTTAACCAGCATTCCCAGCAAAATGTAAGCTCATCCCCCTATTTTGTGTTCTAAAGTTGCTTTGAATTTCTCCACAGGGGGGACATTTTATAAATATAAATATATGCATTTTTGTGCAAATATCATTGCAAAAATACATTGACTGATGCAATTTGGTGGTTGTCTATGGAAATGCCTTATTAAGAAATGGCATGGCAGTTCTTGAGGTTAGTTAGACATAGGACTCACCAGTAGGAGAGCTGAAGATCTTCTGTCTCATTCATTGTTTTCCATGTGCAGTTCATAGCTTCAGACGCATAGTAAATACAATCAAAGTTCCGTATCAATTCTTCTGTAGCCAACAAAAAAATGAAGATTTTTTTTTGTGTTAAACAAAGAGTTGTCAAAAATAATCAGGGAAAGATTTATCTTTTGTTAACTTAAATACTGACAAACTGCAAATTCAGTCTAATGCCCCAGGTACAATCCAAAGTTAATATTTCTTTTAAATTAATTTCATTTCACCTTTAAATTAATTCAAAATTCTGACATAACACATACAGTGAGGGAAATAATTATTTGACCCTATGCTGAATTCTTAAGTTGACCTATTAATAAAGAAATGAGAAGTCTATAATTTCACTAGAAGGTTTACTTTAACAGCAAACAATAGATTATCAACAAAACAAGCAAGAAATCATCATGTAACAATTACAAACCAAATTGTCATTTATCTAGGGAAAGTATTTCATCCCTTGCAACACATGCTTTAGTACTTGGTGGAATAACTATTGTTCGCAAGCACAGCTGTCAGAATTTTCTTGTACAGTAGTTGGTCACCAGTTCTGCATGCAGGTCAGCAAGAATTTGCCATGAATTAAGTTTATGATATTGAATGAAATGAGCTGCCTTTCAGGACCCGGTGTATGTCTACACTGTATTACAGTTTATTATTTTTACTGTTCAATAAACCACCGGTGTGCTGAAATGAGATTCTGCTGAAGTGGATTCCCTACAGCCATATTCAAACACAAGGATGTTTATAGATGGAGCCAAAGCACCCTAGACCAAAATTCAAGGATCGACTTTGTAGCCATTTCTTCTAAATTTAGGTTGTGTGGAACTGAGGTGAGGAGCAGTGAAGAACTATCCACAGAGAACCACATGGTGGTGAGTGGGACTTGGGATAGACCAGAATGACACAGACCAGCAGTCAAGGTCTGCTGGAAAATTCTGTCTGTGCAACATAAATTCAACCACACCTCCAGAAACACTTCCCCAGTACGTCAAGTGAGATTGTGAACACTGACTCTGAATGTGCCATGTTCGAGGCTTCGGTTGTTTAAGTGTCTGCAAAGAACTGTGCCAGAAGTCATTGCCTTCATTGTAGTCCTTGTAATAACCCTCGGAGCTTTGGTGAAATAAGTAGTCAAGTTGAAGCAGAGGGCTTTCAGGGCAAAGCTATCAAGGGCATTTCCTGAGACAGCTGCATGGTATATTCCAGCTAGCCATAGTACAGGGGGCTTGAAGTGACATCTATGCTAATTGCAGATGATGTCGTGCTTTTAGTGTCATCCAGCCAAAACCTTCAGCACATAATTGGTGGTATAGGGATGAAAATCAGCACCTCTTAATGTGAGGTCATGGTATCCTCTCAGAAAACAATTTTATCCTTTCAAGTGGAGGGAAGTGGATTCTGCCCTTAATGAAATAGTACCTCAGAATCTCATCCAAGAGTGGAGGTAAGAGGGAATGTAGGATGATCATGAGCTGTGGCTAATAGAATAGAGATACTTTGTTAATCTCTGAGCAGAAACTCTCTTTTTCCCCCATCATGCTCCCTATATGGGTAAGAGCAAGCTTGGGCGTCACAGTAAAGGGGCAGCCACCTTGCGGCACCCAGAGAGCTGAGGGTTAAGACCCTGCTCAAGGACCCACAGGCATGTGACTATTCTGCCAAGGCCTGAACTACTGACTTTCCAATCACAGACACAGAGGTTTAGCGGTTTGCATGCACTGACACGCAAACACGCAGTACCTGAGCCCATTTGCACAATCGCTTATCACCTTTTCCATTTTATGTTTTTACCTTTGGGAGCCGGGATACCCTGAGTTACAGATTTGCTCTCCATGTGAGACCCATTGGTGCACTTGGCTTTCACGCTGTACATCACTCCGGACTCCAGGCTAGGACATCTTTCAAAAAATAGTCTTTCGGTTGTTTGTGTTTCTTCATTCTGCAAAAAAAAATCCCAATGTACAGTGGTTAGAAGGCACAAATATGGCCAGGACAGCGGACATTATGTTTTGCATTATCGGGAGAGAAAGTATAACTGTTTTCGACCACTATGTCAATTGAGAAAGATAAAAAAAACAAGCTTTTATGTGATTCATAATTATTATAAAGTTTTCACAAATGCAATTTTGTACGCAATTTTGGCAAATTAATCCAGCAGATTATTTAAAGGTTGGAGTGTCCTTTTGGGTCCCCTTGACCCAGGGCCCGGGAGAACTTTCCGGTCCCCCCCCCCCCACCCCTCTACAGTTGACAGCACTGCTGCTAACCATAAATAAACTTGGGTGGTATCTAGACCTCATGAGATAAAGATAATATGACTTTCACTAAAGAAAGTATGTTTAAGCGGCATAGACTTATTAAAATTAAATCAGACAAGGACTGTATTATTTATTACCATGAGGAAATACAAATTATTTTATTATATATACATAGGCAGCATCATCGTAATAAATACAGTGATCCTCCGCTATATCACGGTTCAGCTATCGCGCCCTGCTATATCGCAGATTTTTCCCCAACACATCACAGTTCTCTGTGTATTGCGTACCTTGCTTGTGGTCTGATTGTTGAGAGCAAAGTTTTGTGAACTTTTCGTTTTGTTTTAAGCCCTACGATTTAAGGTTTAAATTATAAATTTTTTTTTATTTATATTGTCTTTCTATATTGCGGATTTTCACCTATTGCTTTTAAAGCGTGTGGGAGGGGTATTTTAAGGCTTAAACTATAAATAATGTTTATTTATATGGTCTTTCTATATCACAGATTTTCACCTATCGCTGATGGGTCTGGAACGTAACTTCCGCGATAGGCGGGGGATCACTGTACTGCTTATTAAGACTTTGCATGTCAGCCAATGCTTAAACTGAATTTGAAAAAAAGGAATGTGTTTTATGAGGCTGATTTACCATTTGTGGTTGTGATTAGAAAATACAGTAATATTTAATTATTAATATTTTATATGAAGAATGTTGAAGACCATTCATTATAGCAGCTGAGTGATTTTACCTTCACACCACTGGGGGCTGAAATCCCACCCCTTGCTCTGTGTGCAAAGTTTTCATGTTTCATGTTTTTTCTTTGGGGTTTCCATCTGGCAATCCAGTCCAAAAACACAGTTAATTAACTGTTATTTCTAAACTGGCTTTGTCATAGACTGACATCCCATACAAGGTGTTGCCTGCCTTGTGTCCTGTGTATCCTAGTTTAGTCTCCAGGCTCTCCCCGGCCTTGTATGAAATAGGTGGTTAAGGAAGATTGATGCATTATCATTTATGCTCATTTAATGGCACATTATTGGCACATCAAATTTTCACACTAAAATGCAGAGCAATTTATTGCACCTGATCAGAGTGAAATTGCTGTATACTGTACCACAGTAAAACAAACTGAAGTGAATGAACATAAACCACGGTAGGTGTGAGAAGCTTAATGCCATGTTCTGGCCTCCCGCACTGAGAAAAGTTTTTCCTTTTGCTTTAACATCTAGTTTCTATTTATAAAATATTTCAAACATATTTTATAAATGGTGGACTGCATATTGTCTTCCACAATGCTGTAACCCTGAAAAAGATAAACTGAAACCAATGTAAATATGACATTTAGATCATTTGTTGACCAAGACTGGCACCTAGGGCTGTGTTGTGCCCTGTACTTCCTGGAATAGGCTCCAGTTTCTTCCAACACTTATAGTTTTTATTATGTCATTATTTGTGGTGTTTTATTTAATTTAAACACTAAAATGATACAATGACAAAGAGACACTTGTAAAAACAACTCATTATTTGTTGAGACTGAACAGAAACAGCCAGCACATAAACATCTTGCATTGTTCACCTCCCTAGTCCAACGCATGTAGTCTGAGATGGAAAACAGAAAATATATCATGGGTAGGATACACATCCCTGATTAACTTGTGGTTCTATATGTTAGACCTAATTAGGGTTTTAAACATAGTGAATCAAAATCAGGGTAGAGGAAAATAAGAAGTGGTTCAGAAAAAAAACATTACAAAGCAGATAAATGTTTCATAAATATTTCAGTGGCATCCATTAGAGTGCTTGAATATAACTGGAAAAAGAAGAGGCGAAGGGGAACGGGAGAAGAAGCCGCCCCGACTCTCTTCTTGGGGGCTTGCTCTCTGCACCCCGCCTGGGATGACACCGCCGCTACCCGCCTGGCGAGCTTCCACGCGGAGAAGCCACCTCCGCTGGAGGCTTATTTTTATTGGCCGGAGCGCCTGGGTCTAGGCGGGATACGCGCCGTAAGGGACGCTATTCCTCGGGTCCCTAGAGCCCTTAAAGGGGCAGTGCCTTCTCGCCCGGCGCCCATCCTTGCTGCCCGTTCCGGACCTGCCTGCTCCGGACCTGCCAGCGGCTACACCTGCTGCTGCTACTGCAGCTCTGCCCGCGGCACCGCCTGCTGCTGCTGCGCCGGGGCGCCCCCTGCTGGCCAGGAACTGAGGATGCCCGCTGCAGCTCTGCCCGAGGTCCCGGCTTCGCCTCCACCCCCTGCTGACCACGTGATGGCAGCGCCCCCTGCTGGCCGCACGCCCGAGGTGCCTACTGAGGCGCCCCCTGCTGGCCACGTGACGGTGGCGCCCCCTGCTGGTCGCACGCCCGAGGTGCCTGCTGAGGCGCCCGAGGTACCTACTGAGGCGCCCCCTGTTGGCCACGTGACGGCGGCACCCCCTGCTGGTCGCACGCCCGAGGTACCTGCCGAGGTGCATCCTGTTGGCCACGTGACTGTGGCGCCCGCCGAGGCGCCCCCTGCTGGCCACACACCCAAGGTCCCTGCCAAGGCGCCCCCTGCTGGCCAAGTGATGGCGGCGCCCGCCGAGGCGCCCCCTGCTGGCCACACGCCCGCGGCCCTGCCTGAGGCCGCCTCTCCCGTCCAGCCAGTCCTGATCGCGGCTCCGGCTGCACCGCCCATGGCTCCGGCTGCACCGCCTGCGGCCACGCCCGCGGCTCCGGCTGCACCGCCTGCGGCCACGCCCGTGGCTCCGGCTGCACCACCTGCGGACACGCCCCCTACTTTGCCTGAGCCTCCACCCTCAGGGACCTCCCTCTTGACTCGCTCACCCTTGCCTCAGCGAGGCCGACACCCCCCAGGACCCCACCTGTCAGTTTCCCGTAAGGGACGGGGACACAGGCGTCGGGCCCGGGTCCCGCCCACCCTGCCCCCTGGCTCGCCCCTTCGGCCCCTGGCTGTGGCTCGGTGGCTGCCTGCGGGTCCTCCGGCTCGGGGTCGGCGGTCTCCGCCGGGTCCCCCCCTGGTTCCTCGGTGCCGGTCCTCGGTCCCGCCTCCGGCTC